GCTCACACAGGTATGTACGCTCACACAGGTATGTACGCTCACACAGGTATGTACGCTCACACAGGTATGTTCACACAGGTATGTATGCTCACACAGGTATGTATGCTCACACAGGTATGTTCACAAAGGTATGCTCACACAGGCCCCAGACACCACTTGCCCAGCTTCGCCTTCTGCCTACCTGCTCTCTGAGCCTCCAAGAGAAAGGCGTTACCATAGTCCCAAAAGAAGAACTTCTCCTGGGCCAACCTGTTGATGGCTGAGACATGCCTCCTCAGGCTGTAACAAACAGGTGATTAGTCCCCGACTTGTCCTCCAGCTCCCCAACCCCACCCCATCAACCTCCCCAAGGCCTTCTAAGCCCAGTGCCAGAAGGTCTCCATGCGAACCAGCCTCCTCCAGCTCACTGTGACTGACCCCAGTGCCACTGATTCCCATGTCTAGTCAAAACCCCAAACCCCTCAACACCCCCTGTTTTGTAGTGCCCCCCACAACCAGCATTCTTCATTGGAACCCTGGGTCCAATGTGCCAGACAAAGGTACTGTGGGTAACCCAGTGTGTACCCAGCACGGACATGTAAGCTGCCCTAGGGATCTGACAAATATCAATTCAGTTTGTCCCATCATCCCTCAAAGTAACGTGCTCACCACCCCCTCTGAAAAAAGGAAGCCAAGGCTCAGAAAGGTTAGGATCTGCAGGCTCTACTGTCCCGCCCTGTTACCCACCTTTCCTGTTACCCACCTTTCCTGCACCAGGTGCTTGAAGGCAGCTGGGTTGGAGGACATGAGGCTCTGGGCCTCTGAGAAGCTGAGTTGCACAGGGTAGTAGCCACCATTGAATGGGTTGTGACAGGACGTCTGGTCTGACCCCAGATCCACCAAGAGCTCCCCTGTGGTGTCCAGTTCATGGACCAGGCGCTCCCTGGAGAAGCGGTGGGTTAGTCAGAGCAGGGCCAGCAAGCGTGGGTTGGAGGAGGGCCAGCCCACAGAAACTGCAGCCCACATCTCCACCCACACACCCTGCAGGTAGTGTCTTCTTTCTCCTTTGCAAAGTGCATGGGCGGAAAGGTTATGTGGGTCTGGGTGAGGATGATGGCCTTCCCAGGAAGGATAGAGCTGAGGTTCAGAGCTTGTGGCTTGAAAGCACTTGGTAGCATCCCCGGGGTACCACTTACCAAAGATCCACCACGTTGCCATGGTAGCCAAGGCTGAGAACCTCCTTCTTTTTCCTTGCTTCCCTAGAAGGACGAAAGAGCAGAACAGACAATCCACACCAGTGCTCAGCTGCCCTGGATGGAGCTGCTCTGCCTCCATACAGGAAGTTCAATGCCGGCCAAATGTGGCAGACATAGGAGGCCACCTAGGGCCTGCATGTGAACGTGGCCTTGTGTGAGAGAGTGGGACTGTGTGAGAGTGAGTGTATGTGGGTGTGTGGACCTGTGTGTGATTGGAGACCTGTGCATGAGTGTGAGCCTCTGTGACTATGGGCCCATGTTTACTATGCACATGTGTGTGAGTATGAGCCTGCATGTAAGCATGTGTGTAATTGTGGGCCTATGTATGAGCATGAGTCTGTGTACAAGTGGGCCTGCATGGGCCTGTGTGAGTTTGGGTCTGGTTGAGTGAGAGGGCCCGAGTGTAACTGTGGGTGCCCTGTATGGGCCTATGTGAGCTTGGACCTGAATGAGTGTGGACCTGGAGGCATGTGCTAGGGTGAGGTATGTTCTCCCATATTCCATGAAACAAGAAAAGGAAAAGTGCAGGCTGGAATGTCCCAGTTGGTTGAGCTGAGCTGCAGTGGTTCCTGGGAAACAGGTATCTCAACCCTAATCAGCTCTTCATAGAACTCACTTATGGGCTGGGGCATGGAAGTGGTAGGAGTTACTAATGATGATCACAAAATTATTTGGAGAAATAGAAATAGAAAAGAGGATGAATATAATTAAGTCAGGCATGGTAACACGTATCTGTGATTCCAGTACTAGGAAGGGAAGTGTGAAGTTCAGAGCCCCACGGCTGCCCACAAGAGAGCTGCACTAATCCCCGGGAAAGGGTCTCTCCAGAGACCTCTCCCATGATGCTTCACAGTGGAACCTCTAGATGGCATTTGTGGCCAGACATCAGGCACTGAAGGGCCCTAGCCATGCTTTCTCCCCTGCTTCCAATGCCTGGGTTCAAGTGCTCTGAGTCCCACGCAGCCAACTGTACCTGAGTCTCACAATGCAATGGTCCAAGCTGTCAGTCACCTCCATCAGCCAGCCTTGCCGGTGGCGTTTTACAAGTGCAGCTTTGTCAACCTGAGGTCACAATAGACATATAGGCCTATCCATTACATCTCCCCTGAACAACCTCACAAGCCACCCCACGCACCCCACCCCACTTTCATGATGCAGCCTCAGGGCTGTCACTACAGCCAATGGGAAAAGGGGAAGGGGCTTCTGTGAGACACGATTTTCCTGCTGAGATAGACAGCTAGAGCGGACATAGCTCTTCTCATTTCTTTCTGTTTTGAATGTGGATGGCCTGACTGGCTAATGCGGAGATTTTTATCTCCATGAGAGAAGCCCAGGAAAATATAGAGGAACTAGCACTGACATCACTGAGCTGCTGAACATATACTAATATTGTCAGTAACATGAGAAAAATAACTCTCATTCATGTAAGCTGCTACAGTTGCCCTGTTACCTGCAGCCCAACACAGTCCTAGAAAAGCTCAGACAAGCAAGGCACAGGTAGTGTCAACTAAGCTGAATTTCACAGTGTGTCCCCAGGACTTAGCTCAAAGCTCCTCCCTTCTGCTGCTCCCTGCTTCCCTCCTTGACCTTGGCATCTTCCAAACAGATGTGAGAGCCACAAGCCCCCTATGCACACCTCTGTGAAGGAGCAGCTCGTCTGCCTCCTCCATCCAGTGCCAACTGCTAAAGCTGGGGGAGGGATGCTCTATCTAATTTAATTCACAAATATTTATTCTGTCATCCTGGTTCTTCATCTAGAAGGGACACCGGAAGCAATGGCTGTACACACACTGTTAAAGCTTCATGGTTGGAAGTTAGTGGGCATAGAAAATAGAGGGTGGTGGGCACCATGCAAGCAGAACCCATCTGTTGCCATAGGGACCTGACCTGTGAGGTAGCATAAGGCTTTGTGGAGGAGGTGATGGGGTTTGGTGAAAAAAATAAAGAAGGGAGTGGAGTGTGGGAGTAGAGGAAAGGTGTGGATGGCAGAGAAGGAAGAGACAGAAGGAAAGGGAGAGGGAGGCTGAATGAATGAGTCAGGAGTTCTGAGGGACAGGCAGAAGCTCCCCAGCTTACCTCTGCTATCACCCCAATGCATCCGACGATGGCTGCAGCCTTGGCTTGAGCTCCACTCATCCCACCGAGCCCGGAGGTGACGAAGACCTTCCCAGCCAAGTCCTCGAGGCCCAGGTACCTCCGACCAGCATTCAGCACAGTGAGCTGTAGGCAGGGGAGACAGGGTGCTTATTGTCCACTCCTGATAGATCCACCTGCAGGGATCCGCCACTCATGTGTGCCCATCTCTCACCACAGTGCCATGGACGATTCCCTGGGGGCCAATGTAGCAGTAGCTGCCTGCTGTCATCTGGCCGTACCTGAGCAGGGAAGAAAAGGGCAGTGCTTAGAACTTTAGACTAAACCTTGGACGACTCTCAAGGGTTCTCCTGTGTTCTCCTCTGTTACAACAAGTGGAAGAACTAGAGATCATTATGTTAACTATAGTAAACCAGAGTCAGTCAGAAAGTCAAACATCCCATATTCTCTCTTATATATGTAGTGTGAAAGAGAGAGAGAGAGAGAGAGAGAGAGAGAGAGAAGAAGAAGAAGAAGAAGAAGAAGAAGAAGAAGAAGAAGAAGAAGTAGAAGTAGTAGAAGAAGAAGAAGTTGAAGAAGAAGAAGGAGAGAGAGAGAGAGAGAGAGAGAGAGAGAGAGAGAAAGATGAAAAGTAGAAAGATGAGGGGGAGGAGATCTGAAAGGGAAGAAACAAGAATGCATGTGTCACGAAAGCAGAGGGGGGACTGCGTAGGGAATAAAGGGGACTAACAAGAGGGAGAGACGGGCATCAGGGAATAGTCAGGAAAACAAATAAGAAATAACTAAAATGGGACTGGAGAGAAAGCTCAGTGGTTAGGAGCACTGGTTGTTCTTGCGGAGGACCCAGGTTTGGTTCCCAGCACCCACATAGCAGCTCACAGTTTTACAAAGCTCCAGTTCTAGGGGACTAAACATCTCCTTCTTGCCTTCATGGGCATTGCATTCATGTGGTGCACAGACATATACACAGGCAAACTTTCATACATGTAAAATTAAAACAAAATTTAAGAAAATCACTAAAATGACATACGTGTATAAAAATGTCACAGTGAAACCCAATTCTCTGTGTTCTAACCAAAATATTTATAAAGTTAAAGTAAAAATAAAAGGGCAAGGATATAATAAACTGTAGTCTCCTGTGCCCTTCTGCCTACTGGTATTTTCCAGCCATATTTTATTCCTCTAAAATCTGTCATACAATTAATTAAAAAAATCAGCATGGGGATGATTGGGCTAGTCAGGGCAAGACTGAGCATGGCCCAGCAGGCCTGTACTACATGCTAGTGTCTACTTGGTCACTCACAGAGGCATTCGCAGCAAATTTATCAGCAGTGGCCAATACCTGAAGCCATGGAAATGCCCACACATGGAGGGGAGAGACAATGAACTGTGATGTAAGAACTGGATGAGAAAAGAGATTATGATGTGTCCCTGGCACACATGACCCAGTGAAGGTGTCGGACATGGGAAAGCATGTTCTGCAAGATTCCATTTGGGTGACATCCAGTAGGCTTAACTGTGAGGCGTCTTCAAATGAGAGCTGAATCTTGGCACTGGACACATAGCAAGGTCATAGCAGCTAACACATGTCTGTGAGAATCTTTACGACACATCAGATCTACAGCTGGCATCCTGAGAGAGGTCTGCTGTTGGGTTCTTGTTTGAGTGAGTCTGGGCGCCATTCCAAAGGTGTTGCTTTAGTACCTTGTCCCCCACAGCCTGCCCTTGGGTTCCTTTCACGTCAGCACAGGCATTACTGGTCACAGCTTCACAGCAGATGCCATTCAGAGCCATGGTTCTCTCCACCCTCCTGGGAAGCCTGTCAGCTCTGATTTTCTATGTCAATGAATGAATAGTTGTAGTGGTGTGACCTCCTGTGACCTCCCTCCACCTGTGGGCTGTGTCCACAGGGCAGCAAGCAGGCCGAAAGGTTGTGAGGTCATCAGACACAGATATTTCTAGTATTAATATATGCCATCGAATTTCCAGTGATATCACCAGTACTGCCCGAGTGTGGTCATTGCCATTGCTGGATAATTAGCAAACATTGTTTTGGGCAGTGTAATGGGGACAGTAGCATTTGCTGCTAGCTTAATTGCACTCTTTGTTGAAGACTAGGAGTTTCTCAAGGTCTCTCTGCTGCTTGTTTTTCAATGTCAAGTTTATTAGGACCTGGACCTATTAGATTCCTGCCTCTCAGTGACTTTTCCCAGTCCCTTCTCTCCTTTGATTGGATGCTATGTTGTCACAAGCCTATGAATGAATATCAAGCCTACCACACAACCACATAATACATCTGACCATCCAGAACCTTTGTTTTATCTTCTAAAAATGGAGATATGGAAGCATGGTACATAACTGTAGTCTCAGCACTTAGAAGTCTGAGGCAGAAAGATCATGAATTCTTGCTTCTAGCAAGACACTGTCTCATAAAGATAAGTAAACGAAAAGGATGCCTTGTCCCTTCTCTCAAAAGACCGCATAAGTATCGCAAACACAAGAAGACCATGTTGGCAAAAGAAAGTCATCTAAAGATGGTGAAACTCATTATGAGTCCCCTGGGGTCAGCTCTCTAAGGAACTCTGGCTTATGTGAATATCCCAGTCCTGCAGATCGTTCCTCTGTCATTTGATAGTCTCACACAGTCCACTGTGACAGAACCTGTGAATGTCCCCTCTGCTGACATTCAACCAACAGCCTGAGCCTGTTCCCCCATCCTTCCACATGGGAAGCCACATAGATCCGCCAGCATGCCTACCTGTGCCACTCTGATGGCAGGAAGGTTTTGGCCTCCAGGTCTTAGTCTCCTTACACAGTAACCCTGTCCCATCTCTGCTGCAGTTCCCACCTTTGCTCTGTACTGAGGATTGAACCCAGGGCCTCATGCATATTAGGCAAGAGCTCTACCACTGAGCTATAGCACCAGCTTTTCTTTGAAAAACATACTTTTTTCCCTAAGTGAGGAAAAAAAAAACTAGCCCAGGCTATCTTTGAACTCACACTGTATCCCAGCTAGGCCTTAGAATCCCCCTGCCTCAGTCTCCCAAGGGGATCACGTGATAGGCATGCACCACCAGGACTGATTTCTATTCTTTTGCAGTCTGTGTCCCCGCATCTCCCTGTAGCAATCCCTCAGCACCATAGGCAGACAAGCTCTGACATTTGTAGCTCTGTCATTTTTGGACTTTAATCCCCACCTGTGAAATAGAACTGTGGGACAATCCCAAGGCCATGGTGGGCCAGGACGTGCTCCCTCAGCCCTCTGATCCAAGGCTGCTTCCACTGGAGCAGAAAGTTTCCAGGCCCAATAGCATCAGCAAGACTCAGAGGTGGGTTCTAGCCAGCAGTAGAGTGTTTAGTTTTTCTGAGGCCCTGTTTCTCCTGTTTCTGAAGACTGGTAAATCCAGGGTACATTGTGGTGGTGGTGGTGGTGGTGGTGGTGGTGGGCTGTGCTGTGGTTACACTATGGATTGTCACCTGGAGACTAGGTCATTGACTCCCCATTCTGAATTCTGCAGATTTCATTTTATATGGTGTTTCCCTGAGTGATGATCCCAGAGGTCATCAGAGGCACCCTCTGTGCCGTGCTAAAGACTGAAAGTCTTGCATTAAGGGTCACAGTGCCACTATCACAGAAGAGAGTGAATTGCCAAGTCTGTGCTCCACAAACAGACTCCATGCAGTATTGTCAATGGGGAAAGGCAAAGTACAGAGACTATTGCCATGGTATGGACCCCTAGCCCACAGACCAAGGGCATGAAGGATGTTTGGAGATACAGGAAACATGGTCCCTTGGGGTCCCATGTGGGACAGGCTTTCCTTACTCAGAGCAATTCCTCCTGTGACAGTTGATGAAATCTTTAGATGCAGAGCCTGGGTTAGCTTTACAGCACACCGAAAGCTTTCATCCCCTGTCAGGGTCCAGGAAGCTCTTCAGGTTGGTGACAGGGTCCCGTACCTGGTGAGTCACCTTGCTGCATAGTTTGTCAGAGCACATTCCACGGGACACAGGGATGAGTGTGTCTTGTGGGAGAACCGTCCATCAGAATCCTTTCGAGGGGCAGGTTCCAAGACACCCCCCAACAGACTCCTAAGTCCTCTGACACTTAAATCCTGCGTGTCAAACAGCCCGCATCTGCACAGAACCTGTGTAGTTCATGTCATGCAAGTGCTGTGTGGGTGGCTATGGTAACTACACTTGTTGTTCAGGGGACAAGAGCAAGAAAATGCCTGCATCCGGTTAGTGTGGAATTTGATTACAACCATTTCCAATTAGCAGTTGGTTGACTGTACATGCAGATATCACTTTAAAAAGGGGAAAGAGAGACCCAAAACAAAGATCAAATCCCAGTCAGCCATATCTGAAATTTGGATGATTTTTGAGTTCATCCAAAGCCAAGCTGAATGGATGAATGGATCAAGGGGTAGATAGACAGACATGCTATTTATAGCAAGAAGTTGTACTCTTTTGGATTGCTTGTTTAGACATAGGGTCTCTCTTATTATGTAGCTCTGGCTGTCCTGGAACTTGTTATTGTAGATGAGGCTGGCCTTGAACTCATAGAGATCCGTCTGCCTTTTGCCTTTGTGAAGTCTGGGATTGAAGACATGTGCCACCATGCCTGGCCTCAGCAGCTCTACTTTTACCACAGAATTTTGGCAATATGCCCTGAAAATTGTTTCAATTTTTCTTTCTCATTAATAAAATCACCCTATTCTAACCATACAGAAGTTCTCTGAACTGCTTAGAGTATAGAACTGGGCAAGTGTTTGTGTGCCTTCCTTGAACCAGCTGTATGATGTTTTTATTTGTGGGCCAATTTTCTGTATGTCTGGGATTACTCATAATAAAATCTTTGAAACAATGGAATCCAAAATTGCATTTTTCTTTGGTTATGTGTCTATAAAAAACAGTAAGCATTTACACAAAGCTACCAGCGTGCAGAGGTGTGAGAATGAAATGATTTCTCCCTGTGTAGTAAGCATTCCCTGAAATCAGGCTTAACACAGTCATGCCATATTCTCAGAAATGAAACTAAAGCAGACAGCATCGCTGTGAGCTGACACTGAGACTTACATGGTCACCCCCAGGGCAAACAGCTTCTCATACTCTGTCTTGGAGGAGTAGTTAGGAATGACCTAGAAGAAAGGAAGGGACCACGTGTGAGTGGTGCAGGGCCGCCTGGATCTCCTCCTCAGCCACAGCATCCCCTTTCCCAAGCCTGACTCTGGGTAGGCACCGTGCCTGCTGCCTCAGACTCACCATCCCGTTGGTGATGACCAATCGTGGGGCACCAGGGCTGCTGGGAAAGAGGCCCAGTGGGTGTCCACTGTACATGACCAGAGTCTGTTCCTCAGTCATCTTCGACAAGTAGGACATGGTCAGCCAGAACTGGATGGATAATACACATGTTGGACTCTGTAAGTGAACTGGCACCCACAAGGACCCCATACCCCACACTCAGACCCAGGGATTCCTACAGGTCTCTGCTGATCCACCCTAGTGGCCTTGTTGGCCTAGATCCTCTTTAATCTCCAGGGTCTCCTGGTACATCCCATAATACCACTCTACTCCATCTTAAAGTGAAGCATCTCCAAGTGATTGCCAGTGCTGAAGCATCAGGCATCAAGTAGAATCATGGACCACTTAGTGCCTTCCAGGCCACCGTACCTGAGCCCAGTTGCTGAACACCTGCCCGTTTCCTCCATAGGTCACCAGCTCCTGCGGAAACTGGAGAAGATGTGGCATCATCTGAGACAGGGCTGAGGACAGAGAGGAGCAGGACCCCTACCTGCAGCTGTACTGAAAGGAGCAATGACGTAGCAGCAAGGCAAGAAGCCTGAAGAGGCACATAGCATCCACCAGCCATGCGGGCTACTGAGCATGGCTGACCAAGTGACATACATCCTCCTCGTCAAAATTCCGTGTAAAAGGGGGAACATGAGGGATCCCATTAATAATGTTAAGATACACTATGGTAAACTATTTTTAAATCTTTTTATTTTCAGGTGGCCATTAGAAAGGTAAAATCATAGGTGCATTTATGTAAATGCATTGTTATTTTTTATTTGTTTCCTGCTTTTGATTTTGCCCTACAGTTACAGGGAAAAATCCAGGGACCTGCCTTGTGCCTGCTTTGTAAGTGCATTAAAGGCTTATTAGCATTACTCAGGATCTCAGGGCATGTTTCTCTGGACTATGCTGGCCTCGGTTCCCCTATCATTACCTGGGCCACGGCCGGGTCCAGGTTGTTCATGATCATGTGCATGATGGCTGCAGCTGCTCGTGTCCGGCATGGGTACTGATCGATTGGGTAGGCCCTGCAAAGGGAAGTCCCACATCAGGAAACAAGGGACCCACCCCCATCCACTAAGGCCTTCCATCCCACTAAGATGCTGCCTGGCCGAGCTGACAAGGTGAGAGAGAAGTCAGGTGAAGCACAGGGCAAGGGGAGCAGCAGGGTCACCAGGCGCTAGGGGACTTGAGTTCCCGCATGCCCACAGCAGGAAGTCCAGTCCCCTCCCATCACTGTCCCTCTCTACTTCAAGCCTGGGAGGAATCTGACTACAACCAAAGCTGACGGCTGCTTTCCAGAGCCCTCAATCTGTGGGCATTCAGTCATTTGTTCTTTCATTCACTCATTAGACACAAGTCCATGGCATGTGGCAGAGGGTACAGAGGTGGAGAAAGGCACTGGCTCCTGTCTCATGGGGGACATGAGACTCCCTGAGCCATTTAGAGCAAGCCTGGGTTCTGGCACATTCAGAACAATGGTTCTCTATGACACCAACTGCAGCATCCAAGATGCAGATTCTCAGCTTTGCTTCAGGGCTGCTGAGTTTCAAGGCCAGTGTTCTGTGCTTTCACAAGACTTCCCACGATGCTGTGCATGCCACAGTGTAAGAACATCAGCAGAGAGCATGACAGACTTGAAGTCATTGACAGCCACTTCCCATCCCACCAGCTCTTCCCTGGAGAGCAAAAGACACAGTATTCCAGAGAGACTTCATGTTCCAGAGTCAACAGGACTGAATGCAGGACGGGGTGCAGGCCAGAGCCCTATCTGACAAGGACCACATCCTCTGGCCAGGCAGGTCAGCTCCTGATGCTCCAAAGACACCTCACTACCTACTTTCTCTGCACTTCCATAGGTGTCCCAGCTCAGACAGACTGACCTCCTCTTTAGCCATGGATTCCCTGAGGCTCCTGACTTCTGCACAGCCTTATTTGAAGCCAAGCCCACAAGCGCTCACCTCATCTCAATGTTGGGGCAGAACCGGTACATGTAGATGTGTCCAAACTGTCGTAGCTCCTGGGCAAACTCCTGGGCCAATAGTTTCTGAACATCAGGTGGGAAGTAGCGCAGGGCATTCCTCAGAGCCAGCTGGGGAGGAAGGGGGTGAGAGGTGGTGGGTTAAGGGCCCTGAGGCACCTGGATTGCCTCTGCTCCACTCAGGAACTGGTTGAGTCACTCTGAGAACATCTGCTTTCCTTCCTTGTTGGCCGCTGGCCCTTTTATGAAGGCAGACCTTAAGCTTTCCTTTCTTGGTCCCATCTTCCTCTGGGGCTGCAGACTCAGAAGAGGAAAGCAGAAAGCCACTGTAAGTCTAGAGAGGCATCTAGCTTGGAAAATGGTCCAGAGGCTGCATTCTGGGGCAGGCAGACTTGGGCAGTGTGCATAGCTGATATGGTAGCCACTGTAATGACCCCACCATGTGCACATTCTCATTCACCAACTTGCGTGTTGCTTTACAAGGTGAAAGGCAGCTTTTACAAAAACTTGGTTAAGGATCCTGAGACTGTTCTGGAGTCCAAGTGAAAAGTCCCATAATTGTAAAGGTTCTTGTAAGAGGACAAGGGCCATCTGGTATCAGAAGAGATGTGAGGGCCAAGCTGAGTGTCAGTGCGGTGTGATGCAGATTTGAGGATGCAGTGTTGTTAGAGACATAGCTGTATGCATGGAGGATTTTCTCAGCAGCACCTATGTGCCCTGCTTCCTCCTTTACTGTCTTTGTCCGTAAATTGGACTGATGTTAGAGCCCACCTCCTAAGTACTAATTAGCTGGCATACTTAGTATGGTGTTGGGCTCACCTGTGGACTCTGGGAGCGCCAGATCACAGACCTGTCGGTTGTCACACTCAGAGACCACCACCCTGCCCCGTGCTGCCTTTGGGGTCTCTTAAAAACTGCTTATACTATCTTGGCATGGGAGAAGTCTTGTTAAGCACCAAGTCATGGCCCTACTCAAAAACCTTCACAGGCCTCACTGCCTCTCTGGTGGCACCAAGTGGCCTTGGCATTCTGGGTCTTCTCCAGTCATGCTGCACCCAGCTCTCCAAGCTCTGCTCTCAGCTCCGCTTGCATGAGGTCTCCTCCAGCTTCCACATTTGGGAAGGTCCATCTCTACCTTTCCATGTACAGTTTCCCTTGTCTCCAAATAGATCTCCTCTCCATTCTAGAAACCTTGTCTAAGCTACTATAATCACCTCTGCCAAAAAGTCCCCCTGGGTGCCTTGTAAGATATGGGGTTGGCTTCTTAATAAATATTCTTGTCCATGGATTCAATGAGCACATGCTGGTGTTGCTGGAACCTAAAGATCATCCCAAGGGAGTCCTGCACTCAAGCTCAGATGGTGTGTTGGCAAAGACAGGTATGTAGATCCACCATGGGAAAGGGCCCTCAGGAGACTGTGTTACTAGATAGGTACTTAGGCCCACCATAGTGAAGGGTTCAGCTGTGGCATTTAATGGCCAGCACAGTGCAGTGGATGAAGCAGGATTTGTGACAAAATATTGATATGGGATGCCCTTCTGTATTCTGTGAATATGTCTTGCTTTTTATTGGTTGATGAATAAAGCTGCTTTGGCCTGTGGCAGGACAGACTACAGCTAGGTGGGAAATCTAAACAGAGATAAAAGGGAAAAAGAAGGCAGAGTCAGGGAGACACCAGCAGCTGCCGGGGAAGCATAATGTGGGGCAACAAGCCTCGAGATTCATGGTAAATTATAGAATAACAGAAATGGGTTAATTTAAGTCATAAGAGCTAGTTAATAATAAGCCTGAGCTAATAGTTCAAGCAGTTTGTAATTAATATTAAGCCTTAGAGTGGTTATTCGGGAACTGGAAGGTGGGAGAAAAACCTCCAGTTACAAAAGGTCACTGAGAGAAACTGCACACAGGGGAGGCGGTATACAAGAAGGTCCTTCTGACGGAACTGCTCATGTTGTGAGACACACTGTGAAGGCTGAACAAGCCTGTGCTGAGTTTACACTGGCTAAAGTGTACTAGGCAGCACTCCTTACTTAAATAGAGAGCTGCCAATGAAAAGCAGGGAGCGAAGCCCCCAGTCTACCCAAACAATGACAGAATGGAATAGCATGTAACAGTGGAAACAAGAGAGAACTTGAAGTATGCACACCAGAGCATACTTATGTACATACAAGAACACACATATCCACACATGCAAGCACACTCACAGACACACACACACCACTGAAAGCAAGTAGATAAAAGAAAAGCTGTTACTGGTTTGGGGACTCCATCTGAGAAGGACGACTTAGCCTTTCCATACTCTAACTCCCTGGATCTGCAAGTCACCTTTCCTTTAAGGATGCTGCATCCTCCGAACACATGGGTATAGCACACTGTACTATGGTCCTGTAGCGCCTGTCCTATGTGTACTACGGTACTACATCTGTAGCATACCACCTGCACTACAGGACAGTTCAGATAGGGGCTGGAGATTGAAACTCACAGAGACAGAGACATGGGCCATCCTTGAATTCCCCAAGAATGCCAACTCTACTGTGTTCCAGAGCAGCTTATATAGTGCCTTCCCTGACCATTGGTCACTCCCTAGCTCTCGGGATCCTTCAGCTGAAAGCCACCATAAACCACTCCCCTGTCTCATGCTCAGAGCAGCTGCAAACACAGGAAAACAAGTTGTTTTGCTCGGAGCAGCTGCAAGCATGGAAAACAAGTTGTTTACAGGGAATTCAGGGTCTGGGGGTCCACAGTCCCCAACACATGGGGACATACAGGAATGAAACTGAAGGGGCCCAATCTCCCAGTTCCTGTCTGCTGTTCTGCCACCACAAATCACCATGACTGCTGATCACTGCCATCCAGCCACAAGCGTGTCAGCAGAGCCCCGCAGGAGGCAGAGCCTTTCCAGTTTTTGTGGCTAAGCATCAGTGCAGGGAGGTGCACAAGGGAGAGGAACATTAACCACAACAGAGAGGTGAGCTCAGTAGAATTAGACAGGGCAAGTAAAAAGGCAGCCCCCCCACTCGATCTTGTCTTTCCTTCCTCCAGCACTAGCCCCAGCTTGCTGGCATCACCCCATTTTCTAGGACCCTCAGTTACTTTGCTGCTCTCACTCCCAGCTCCTAACGGAGCAGCTCTTACACGCACTCCTTGCCTGTGGACAGCTTGGAGAAAGCTTAGGGGTGGTCTCTCCTAGGACAGCAGTCTCTGGGTGAGGGCGAGGGTGGGCTCCTTGCTCAGCCTTCATACTTCTGTGTCTTTCCGAAAAGCAGCCCACCAGCCCCACCATGGTTCAGGGACTTGTTTTAGTCTGACAGCTTGGACAGTTCTTGGGCCTCAATCCTTTGGGCAAAGAGAGTCACTAGGTGAGGCCCTCCATGAGCTGCCATCCCTCCCAGAACGGTTGTGTCCTCGATGGAGAACTGCAGGCCCTGGGAGGCTTGGGCAAGGGACAAAGAAAAACTGGTGCAAAGGACACAAGTCACCCAGTCACTCAGTTTCACATGAACCGGGCAAGGTCCATGTGAAGTTGCTAAGCTAGGGCCACTTCACACCCTGTCTCTTCCTCTTCCTCACTAGAGGTGGCCACAGCACCACCACAGACTGTTTTGGTGACCTTGAACCCCAGTGTTCTCATTGGGAAGTGGGGAGCCCAATTCCAAGCCTAAGGTAACTCCAGGGTGGCTTCACCTGAGGAATATCAGGTGACAGTCCATGACACATCCCCTCACTCTTCTCTGGGAAATGGTGGGGACAGGGTGGGCAACTAAGGTGTAGACAGAAGGGGTACCCAGACACCCTGACCATCTAAAGGACAGCAAGGGGCCCCAAGCCCTGGAGGACTGGGTAGCAATTCTCACCTGCTCTTCTGCAGGGCTGAGGCTGGGCGTCCTGACTGGAGCATGTGGCACACCAGCCCAGCGACCCCGGTTCTCAGGGAGGGGTCGTAGGGGCAAGCCAGAACACAGTTCCTGGAGGCTGGACATGGCTGCAGAGACTGAGGTGGAGGTCGGCTCGAAGTGACTGGGCAGTCAGGAGCAAGCAAGGTGGGGACAGACAACCCCAGGGCCACCTCCTCCAGTCCCTCATTGGGTGCAGAGAAAGCACAAAGGGCAGGTCATTTGGATCACTGGCTGGAAGGCAGGCTGCCTGAATGTTACTGGGAGGAGAAGCTCCTTGGATGGTAGGAGAAGCTCCTGTCAAATTAGACAGAGTTTTGGGTGCTTGGTGGGCTCTGAGGTTGAGGTTTTCTCTGTCTTAGAGGATGCCACACAGGTGGCAATGTTGGAATATGTGTCTTGATAATGGGGGAGTCATGTGACATCGAATCTAGCTTAAACTCTACAGAAGCCAGTCCCTTGTATCCCCCTCCCTGACATTTGAGCACAAAGGGACCAGATGATAGGTGTGGTAACAGCTCTCCACACCCCCAGCATCCCCTAATCATTAACAACTTGGCAAGAAAGCCATCCTCATCATTCTGGCATTGGACCAGAGGCCAAGGCTGGGTGTCACTTCCCTCCCTCTAGCCAGGAAAGGCCCACCATTGAGTCTCAGTGGTCCTGGTTAGTGACCACTCCTGGCCAACCTTGTGGCCTTTACCCTGTCCCTGTGTACACAGGTGGGTGGTGACCAACCCCTCCCTCTGCAGAAAAAGGTCATGACACCCAGCCCTAGGCAGAGTGGGAAGGTGACCCACTGGCGAGTTTGAGCAGCACACAAGGTGACTGACCTTTCAGTGGTCCTCAGAGCTCAAGTCCAACCAACTGAAGAGGAAAATGAGGTCAGAGAGGCAAGGAGACTGTAGCTGGTCATGAGCGAAGTGAAGATTGGAGCCCGGGACCCCACATTTGGACGGAGACACCACTGAAGTGACTCCTGACCTTAAGTGTCCAGTGTACAGACGGGGTGGTGTGGGTGTTAACAAGGTGTGGTACAGCAGTGTGAGAAAAATAGACTGGTCTCTGAAGCCCTTGAGGCTGGGGACACCGGGGGACTCTTGCCTCTAATGCTCTCTGACTTCCAGTTCACAAATCTTGCGGAATGCCAGGGTGACGAGGGTACTTTTGATCTCAGTATTCTAGAGAGTCGGCTTCAGGGCTCCTGGACAGCCCCAGGCGTCACTTGTTTACCTGGAAACTTTCTACTCCTGAACTCAGGGAGAGCAGTGGGGAGGTGCTCATCATGACTGTGTAAGGAATCCCAGGGAGTTCCTAAGCAAGGGCCCCATCAAGAGATTCTTAGAGTCCCAAGAAGTCGGTGTGTGTGTGTGTGTGTGTGTGTGTGTGTGTGTGTGTGTGTGTGAGAGAGAGAGAGAGAGAGAGAGAGAGAGAGAGAAGGGGGGGGTCTGTACCTCTCACACCTCACTCACAGCACCTTCTGCCCAGCTGACATATGAATCCTTTGTGGTAGTTGGAGAATAATATAACATGCTACCTTGATTGTAGTAGGTTCTGACTGGTTTTCCTTTTTTGGGTGCTGGGCAGTCCATCTACCCTTGAGTTTCAATCTTAGGCCATAGGAACCCCAGTTTATAGCCAGTCAGCCAAAGCACAGGTCACTGCCTTGCTCATGATTAGCATCTAAAATGGGGTAGCTTTGGAGATTGAGACCCCAGTTGTGGGATGGGGCATGTGCTCCAGGTAGGTGGGGTCAGGATTGCCTGTTGGCATCTGCTTGGGAACTGATGGCAGGGAAGCAAACCTCACATTCATTCCCTTGTGCATGGTGTTAGGCAGAGTCGGAGATGGAGAAAAGTTTCTTTCATGCTGGGTCCCCAGTGCCTCCTGCTGGAGTCCTCAGTGCTCCCACAGGGAGGACTCCTAGCTTCCACCTAGGACCCTGATCTTACAGGCTCAGGTGGTCAAGCACCACCACCTCATACCAGATACTGTTGCAGGCTGGGACCAGACTGAATGAGGCAGGGCTCTCTTGGCAGTACCAACCTCGGTCCTCCCTTCTGCAAACCTGAGCACTATGGGCCCAATTCCAGACACTTCTCTCTGCTCACTGGCTCTGGTGCCTAAAGCCTCTTCTTCTCACATCAGGCAGAAGAGGGCTGCAGGTTTGGGTTAGCCTCAACTCCTGGGCCCTTGGGGAGACAGGAGTGCAGAAATAGCCCCATGAACAGCAACCTGACATCTGTCAGTCCTAGAAGGCCTTCTCTTAGGCAGCATTGCTTTGGACCTGATTGACTGACCTCTGTTCTCTGTTTTGATTCCCCTCCCTCTAACAGAGACCCACAGTAATCTGTCAGCCCTGATCTCAGAAGAAAGTTGGAAACTCTGATTGTGAAATCTGATTTTAAATGTTTGTAATCAATTCATGAATTTTTAATATTCTCCCCGAGAAGAGGGGTGGACAGCCTCAAAGACAGCATCCTGACTGGGCTGTTCAGGATGTCATCACTGGGGAGACAGACAGGCACATGGGGTACCTGTGCTGTCTCACAACTGCATGTGAATCTCCTTCTAGAATAAGTTACTCAGAAAATAAACCTTGCAAACATTTTAAAGGAATGAGGGGCTCGCATAGGTTGATCACAGCAGTGTGCTAGGCTTGAGCCCCAACTACCCTGCCCATTAGCTGTGTGTCCCTGGGCAAGCTTCTTGATCCCTCTGGGTCTCCATAAGTGAAAGGACAGTTGGCCCTTAGGATCCATATCTGAAGATTTTTCTAAAGTTGCCCCCGTATGAACCTGTACCTATTTTTATCCTGACTATGGGTCCTCCAGAAAAACAGTCTAAAATCCAGTTGTACAATGATGGCATTGTATTAGCTATAAGGCATCTAAGGATGACTGGAGGCAAACGGGGGGACTTCACAGGTCACATGCTGCTCTATAACAGGACTACAGTATCTGCGGGTTCCAGCGCCATGGACACTAAGGGATGACCCTAACAACACTAATATCACATAGATATGGCTGGGGATGGAATGACCTCATACCTGAAGGGCCCTGAAGGTGCTGCACATGTAATCAGTACCATAATGAGGTGTGGGCACCTTTCTCATCGATTACTTGAGCTAAGGAACTTCATCTCCAGAGACAGCTTTGGCCTCTTGCTAGCCCCTACCTCCCTGACCAACACAGATACTGAGAGGCACAAACAGCACCCAGAAATCTCAGCTGTCAGGTTTGCAATTTAGAATCACACACTGGAGGATCTGAGGAGCTGTCCCGCCTCTCACTTTATACTCCTTCACCAACACCCACCCCAAAGTCTCCTTACTAATCATTTAATATCAGGGACAGAATCAAATCAGATCCTCAAATTCTCAGGCATGTCTCTGTGTGATGTGGGAACCCAGCCCTGTCATTGGAACCTCAGTGGTTCCAGAGAGATAAAATAAATCAGGCGAGGTCAAAGGCAGGCCACATAGTCAGGGAGTCACATTCTGTGGTCCTAAGGTTCTAGACGTCTGGGTAAGAACAGCTATGCATATCATGTACGATCACGAGCCGTCAAATGTGCTGCTTGGCAGACTTCCAGATATCCCTTTGTTGCTATCTGACTGCAGTAGCATGGAACTCCTGGAGGAAGCATACAGCCGGGACCCTCCCCCAGGTCTTGAACCACAAACACTGAAGCCGATTTTGGAGTCTGCTAAATTTTAAGACAATCTGTTACTTGGCTATAATTGACCTTCACTTCAGGATATTTACAGAAGGCAGAAGGAAGCTTTTCCACAGAGCTACCAGGGACCTGGGCCTGGAGGCAGGCATCTGCACACCGGTTCCAGGACTTCAAAACTTCCTAGGGTGGATTCTCTAGGGACTCCCAGTTCTAGGAACAACAGCGGGCTGAGTTGTTCTCAATTTTGGTCACTAGGTGGCGGCCTAGAAGACCAAACCACTGAAGACTGGAAGGCTATACCAAGTCCTGGGAATGCATGACTGAGGAACCCTGTGAGTTTGGGTGAGATTTGGGGTAGAAAGGTATTGTGGGTATTCTGGGCTGGGTTGGAAGAAAGCAGGCATTCCTGAAGATGGGGAACCCTGAGAAGGATGAGTGTAGTGTTAGGTGGGTTCCCACCTAGCAAGGTAGAACCATCATGGCTGTTTGAAGTTAAATGTGTAACGATTATTTGTTTCATAGTCTTCATTAATAGACAATAGATCATTGCTTTAAGAGGCAGCAATTAGGATTATTGAATACTAATATCAAGTCCTTTCACGACACTTGCGCACCTGAGACTTTTCAAACATCTCAGTTTCTCATTGAACTGTGAGGTTCATATTACATCTATTGTATGGGAACCGAGACACAGGTGGTGGGTAAGACACTAGTGTTGGGTACAGCTCCTCGCCCAACACACTCAAGGCTAAATGCTGGCTCAGCCATACCCTTCCTGCACACAGGGCCAGCTGCTTGCTTGGGTTCCCTAAGACTCTCAGGTCAGGTGCAATCCCCAGCCCACAGGCCTGGTTGGATGTCTTCTATTTCTTTTCATTTTGTGGCATCAGGATGTAGCCCAGGGCTTCACAGTTTAGGAAATCCCTTTACCACTAAGCCACACTCCCAACCCTTTGTCTGTCAAAAGCTGGACTTCACTCTGGTGTCTCTCTGCAGCTCAACCCCCTGTGTCTGCAGCAGGTGTGGATGAGACAGGACAGGGCTAGTGCTCAGCAAGACATGCCCGACACCCCTTACTTCTCCTCAAGGCTGGACAAATCCTTCATAAACTGGGAGCTGAGCAGACCTGAAGACACACAAAAAGAGAGGCTACAAGGTGGGCTTGGAGAAAGGGAAAACATTCATAACCGATCCTGGCGTGGGGCAGGTACTATCACGGACGGGCACCACATCCGTGAGCTTGAGGTTCAGCCCAGCCCTCCGACCTCTGCCCTTAAGAACAACAGGAGATGCTCCCTGGGAGGGGCTTGCCTTCTCCATTTCACTAGTTGACAAGCTTCTGGGCCTTGAAGGGATGATGGCACCCCAGAGCACACTGTAACAGGTGGAGCCCGGTCAGAGATGGGCTCCCTCACATATTCCCTGCCTTGCACACCTTTGACTATGTCCTGCATTGTCCATC